TTTTAAAGACAAGAATTTTAAAATGTAATTAGGTCATTTTGACCAAATTTGACTTAATCCTCATTTCGATATGATGGCTCACACATTGTATCGTGATAAAGCTGGTGAATTAAACCCCTAACAGGTACGGTGCTAATGTCAGACACTAATGCAGCCACATATCACAGGCAGGATTTTTAAACTATATATTTTTTCAACCAGGTTATATAGTCTCTCTTTTCTGTAGTGCCCCAGATGTTGTATTTGTGTTTTCTAAAAGAAATTTGGAAAATGTTAGTTTAAACATTTAATATGTTTACTATGTTCCACTGTGAATAAAAACGTCTTTATAAAACAATGCACATCCTTTTGTTCTGTTTTTATTTACATTTTACACAACATCCCACCTTTTTCAGAACTGGGTTTTTAACAGTTGGTTCTTCTCCACTGGTGTAGCTAATGAGACTTCAGATGTGAAAGTGCATTCATAAACGATGTGAAAAGGCACGTAGTAGTGCTCAGGTTGTATATGCAGAGAGTGGACAGACACRGAGGGTCAGTGTGCTAACAGCAGCCAGTGATCAGAGTCTGCAGGCTGAGCAGGGCCCATCCATCCACAGTTTACAGTTGAAGTGTCAAACTAATTCAGCCTGTTACATAAATATGCACTTACATGCTGACTAAATGACCACTGCTTAATGATCTACTGAAGCATGTCTTCACCCTGACAAACACTTAACATTTCAATTCACACTAATTACTACAATTATTACTCAGACCACCTATAGCATGTTTGCATTTGTCCTTTTTTTAAGGTTTATTTGATGAAATTAGTCCAAGACTTGTTTCTCCTCCCCCACACCCCACCCTTAACACCGTCAGGCAGTGTTTCCATAAAATGTTATATGTCAGTTATAATTAAATATCTTCTGTGAAAATTAGGTCAAAACAACAAAACAATAAAAACACCAATAAAATATTTAAAAAATAAAAACTAAGTATACAAAATGATTCCACTTTTAGCAGGAACAACATAAAGWATGWCCTCCTGTTATAAAGCTGTGGAAARATTTCAGTCAAACTCTTATTTAAACTGTTCTGGTAGATTTGCAGTCATTTGTTTCTGCAGTTGTCTCCTGTAGCCAGACTGAAGCCTCGACTTTAACTAAGCTGCTGCAACACATGGAGTCTGATTTACACTCAGRTGGTTACAGATTTACTGGTGTAAAATAACCATAATACACCTTACATTTTTTTAATTTAAGGTTGGCTTTATCCAATTTTAAGAGCTGGTGGGAATCAAGTTTTTGATTATTTCATTTTATGTAAAAAGTGAAAAGGGTATCCTTACTTTTTACCATGACTATGTACTACGAAGATGAAGTTAGCTTCCAATTCGGGAAATGACTAAAGGGATATTACAACTAATTTTTCACCACCTTGCACGTGTTTAACCTGCTCTAGCTCAAAAACTACAACACCTACACTCTTCAAACCAGGACTAGATTATTCTACACTAATAGAAGAATAATAAAAACTAAGTTTGAGCTTTGGGAAACCTTTGTCTGATTTGTGAAAAATCAATAAAGTTTGTTTTTCATCGGTTTTATGCAACTGGACCACATTAGACCTGGTCCAGCTCAAAAACCACAACACCTACACTCTTCAAACCAGGACTAGATTATTCTACACTAATAGAAGAATAATAAAAACTAAGTTTGAGCTTTGGGAAACCTTTGTCTGATTTGTGAAAAATCAATAAAGTTTGTTTTTCATCGTTTTTTAGGCAACTGGACCACACTAGATCTGGTCCAAATTTTTCACAAATCAGACAAAGGTTTCCCAAAGCTCAGACTTAGTTTTAAATATTCTTCTATTAGTGTAGAATAATCTAGTCCTGGTTTGAAGAGTCTAGGTGTTGTGGTTTTTGAGCTGGACCAGGRRTAGTGTGGTCCAGTTGCCTAAAAAACGATGAAAAACAAACTTTATTGATTTTTCACAAATCAGACAAAGGTTTCCCAAAGCTCAGACTTAGTTTTACATATTCCACTATTAGTGTAGAATAATCTAGTCCTGGTTCGAAGAGTCCAGGTGTTGTGGTTTTTGAGCTGGACCAGGTCTAATGTGGTCCAGTTGCATAAAAATGATGAAAAACAAACTTTATTGATTTTTCACAAATCAGAAAAGGTTTCCCAAATCCCAAACATGTTTTTAAATATTCTTCTATTAGTGTAGAATAATCTAGTCCAGATTTGAAGAGTGTAGGTGTTGTAGTTTTTGAGCTGGACCAGGTTAAACACGTGCAAGGTAGTGAAAAATTAGTTGTAATATCCCTTTAGTCATTTCCCGAATCGGAAGCTGGAATCGGAAGCTAACTTCAGCTTCGTCTATGTACTGGAGTCAAATCTTCACAAGGTGTCACATGTGAAATATAACTGAGACTTGGTAAATGTAAAATATCTTAATATATGAGAAGTGTACTCACAGTTTGGTTTCCAGCTGCAGCAGAAAGCCCTGCTTATCATACACTGTAAAAAAAGCAAACAGAAATGGAGAAGTGAGTCTACAACATACATTCATGAAGTGTGGCATCTTTGCTGGGGACTTCTCTACTTATCCAGTTGACATTATTATAAACTCAGGAGCTGTCGTTGTAAAACTATGTGTGGCTTTCACCAGGAAAGCAATGCAGCAAATGGAAAAGGAAAAGCATTAGGTTGAGGATTTGTGAAAAACAAGCAAGGTTAGGGAAGAGGAGGCAGCCAAAACGATCTGTTGAGATAAAAAAAAATAAAGAAATTAAAAGTTAGAACTTAATTTAGACATCACCTATGGACATCCAGTAGGTGTTGGGTGAAGCATTGAGGTAGAAGTCAGACAAACACAAAAAACAAAAGGAAATACAGTGGCGGTCAGCTCAACAATTTGTTAAATTTCAGGTTTTACTGAGTTTTACTAAATTGCTTCCAGTATTGTTTATATCAGTAAAACAATGTGAGTACATTAGCGTGACAAATGAATGTTTAAAATGATTTCAAATTACTCCTGAAGATGTGGATCTTGTCCTCAAAGGCAAGCTGGAGAACAGAGATGAAGAGACAGCTGATGGGAATGTGTGACAATGCAGAAGGACAGGATCTACGAGCTGTGGGTCCTGACAGGAGTCCACGAGTGGATTTGTGCGTTAGGTTGGTCACTACGAAGCAGAAAGCAGCCATGGAGCAAAACAAGGCAACTTGGGAAATGTTGAAGCCAAGGATTGCACATAAACTCCTGCTGACTGTCTGACCGAGGCGTTACCGAGCCAGGCCAACAGGGGGCAGTGCAGAATCATACTGGAGCTTTTTGTGGAGCAGGATGACCTACATGCTGAGCTTCTAACTCAATTTACCTTATATGTTTAAATACATCTTCAAATAAAGAAGTTAAACMTTTCAATAACTAAAGATTCACCTTTTCTGAACAAAATTTGGGTTTTTGACTAGGGATGAGCAACATGGTAATGTTTGATTTATTATAAAATATATTCCAAAGATGTGTTATATTGTAAAGATTTTTTCTGTTTCTACAGTTAAATTTTCTGAATAAGATGTCAGAGAACACGCAGACTTATTTTCAGCATCAATTAATATTTCTACCTGAAACAGAACTAAAAATGTCWTATTTTGCACCAATTAGGGTTTAAATTAAAACTAAATGTAGCTGGTGTTAACTATGACCCCTGCACGCAGAGCGGGGGTCTTATTGTTTTTGTACTGTTCATTTGTTTTTACCTTATTTTCAGTGATTTATGGTGAACTGTAGCACAGAAACAGCTGCACCAATCAACATGAAATGAGTCAGGACTGTAGATGAGTCTGACCTACACTGCACCAGACAACGGTTTTATGATACACCCCATATTTGAGGAGGGGGCTCCACTGAAAAAGGGGGTGTCTGAACATAAAATGCTTATAACTCAAAAACTATTCAACATAGGAGCTCCTGATTTTTGTGTTTTTTTTTGTTTTTTTTTTTTTAGCTCTGATGAAGGGTTATCCATCAGGCCCACCAATGAGCCCCCCACCCCCACCCAAAACAATAAATGTGTTTCGCTGAGATCATTACTTCTGTTGAACTACGACTACGTTCACACTGCAGGCAAATGCGACCCGTATCTCATTTTTTGGACAGTCTGAACGTGACAAAATCKGATTTTTTCCAAATCTGACCCAGACCTTTTCAGTACCTGGTACTGATTCAGATACACACTGTATCTGATGTTTTTCAAACACACCTGTCGCATAAATCTGGCTTTTCATCAGGAGGAGGGGGTGAAGGATCAATAAGACCCTAACCTCAAGTCACACTGTTTAAATCTGGAGCTCCAGGTGTTTACAGCTCCAAAACACAAGTCCAGTTGCTTCATCTTTTTACTTTTCACTTTCCACGTAGACAGTATGATGGTAACGTCCAGCCTCAGCCACAGCCTGTGCCGATCCTGAAGTTACTCGGTCAATACTTTAATTCCAGCTCGTTTGCTTTATTAAATGCTTTTCCGGACTATGCCACTCAGAGGCAGCTTCAGATATAAACACTGAACTAAACAAGCAGGTCAGATAATTATTWAATCMGCTCTGATTGAACAGCAACTTCAGATTRGACGTGCTAAAAGTAGCATCCATGCTAACTCTGTAAACAAAGCCGGCTGATGAGACGTCACCTCGTTT